AGTCGATTCCGTTAATCGGTGAACGAATTGTGAGTTCCGTAATTTTTACTGAATATTTGTCGCCGTGTGTAAATTAATTTTCGAGGGGGAGAAAATATTTTTTTCAGTTGTGAGTTTTTAAAATGAAATTACCTCATTACAATCCCGAGGAGTTCGTACGTTAGAAGTACTGTCACATTTTCAGTACGTATTTTTTTTATCATTAATTTTATAAACAATTAATGAAGATTTTTTTGATTTTCTGATAATTCAATTTAGTTGTTATGCAAGCGATTTCTAGGAAAATTCTTAAGGATATCGAAGCATATTCACTCTCCGATTGAACCATTTAAAATCAACAAATTTGTTAATTAAATTGCGCGAGAAAAATTTAAAAAAAATCATGAATATTCAGCGTCATTCAAATTACATTTTGCACAGGATTATTATTTTTTTAGACATTCGTTGTTTACAGATAAATAATTGTAATTTTTGAATTACTTCATCAATCATTGCAAAATGTCTGGAAAAATGTTTGGAAATCCTTGGATATCGTTAAAATAAATAAATTGAACACGATATTTGGGGTAGAAAATTTGTTCTTTATCCGTAATATCAATTTGTTCTCTTCACCGACGGCCGTGACTGTGCGGTTAGAGTGTGGGATTGGCATGCGGGGGACCGGGTTCGGTTCCCGGCTGCGTCGCCAAATTTCCTGACACTCTAAATCTCAGTTTCATTGCGGAGCGGAAGTCACGTAAAGGTGACGACTGTACCTGGGCAGGTTTTTCTCTCAAGCGAGGTTTTCCCTCGTTCGGGGTGGGATAACGGGAAAATCGTAAATATCCGAGAGGGTTTACAAAAGAGTCAAAAAATCAATTTGTTCTCTTTCCTGTAAATTGATATTTGAGACAGAGAAATTATTATATTCTTCAATTCTGATTTTTCAAATGAAATTACCTCATACAATCCCGAGAAATTCCTACATTAGTAGCATCATCACATTTTTCAACATGTAAACTGTTCTTAACATTTCAATTTTATAAATAAACAATGGAGATTTTTTTTATTTTCTGAAAATAGAATTTACTTGTTGTGAAAGCGATTTCTGAGAAAGTAAAGTATTCGTAAAGTAAATAAATTTAACAATGGTATTAATTTTCAATCATTCTATGATAATTGAAAAAATGTTCAACAATGCGTCAAAGCAGTTGAGAATTAAAAAAAATGAATTGTTCAATACAGAACATTTTCGTACATAAAAATTATTGCGCAGGATTTTTACTGTACGTATTCACAAAAATTTCCCATTCACTCCCATTAAAAATAAAACGCGTCATAACACTGAATAGATCTTCAATACTTTTTTCATGTTCAAGTAGACCGAAGAACACCTCCAACTTCATTACGAAAGATGAAGATTCCCCGCAAATTCGCCAGCGAACCAGTTTTAATACCCCGAGCCGAACGCGGCGTTTCTAATTACAAAGTAATTACAACCGCAACGAGAGCCGCCCCCCCCCCTCTCTCTCTCCCTCTCTCCCTCCCCCGAGTGACCAAGTTGCGCATTTATTCAGATGTGTGAGTGAGAGCGGGCAAATACACTTTGAACGTATGTATCTCCGATCCCGCTGATTTCGCCGCAGTGTGCTCCTGTAATATACACCGAGTGATAAATTAATAAAAGCACGCTCCACCACTGGCGTTACACCCAACAGTGCAAGCTGTTAATTTTCGGTACGTCTGCCGCCCGAGACCGCCGGTTGTACCAACGAGTTTGTAATTAAAGAATACGCCGCAACTTCTTGATATCACCCCCGTGTGCATACAACGCAGAACTTCCAGAACTCGATGTCACTCGCCGCACTGAAAAGACATTTTGTAATTACGCGGGGAGTTGATTAAGCGCCCAGCGTGCACTTGGGAAAAAGTTTTGGAATGAGGTTAAACAATAATCCGGTGGTAATTGAAATGAAGGACAGTTGTAATTGGGGAACAAATTTTTGGTAATATGTCGCGTTAATTTATCAATATGCACTGAGTAAAAAATATATTTTTGCCAAATATTATTATATTTACTTGAGAGACGCATTTATTTTTTTTAAATCGTATTTCTTCAATCGAGGCAATCGTATTTCCTCAATCAACAAATATGTTGCTCTTCTCTAATGATCATAGATGTTTTCTGAATTTCTTATTTTCTACAGAGAAGAATTTCGATTAATTTTTCAATGTTGGTAATTATTGAGGGAGGTTACTCGAGATCATAACTAACATGATCATCTTCTGGAGTAATATAATTGACATAATTCAAACCCAATAAGAATTGCCTGGGAATGACTGCACTGGCTACAATATTGAGAAAATAGATATTTCCGTGAAGTAAACGGATATTTTGCCAAAATAATTTTTTTTCTCAGCGTAAGATTATCAATATGAAAAATCATGGAAAGCAATGGATTACAGGTCGTTGGACGGAGACAAAAGTTTTCATTTTCAGGGACATGTCACTAATTTTCACAAAATTATTCCCAATGATTAGGAATTCGCGATTGTGAAATTTAGTGTTATTTGAATGGATGCAATGATTGTTTAAGTGGCGACGAGAATAAATTTATTGATATGTGATAGTTCCTTATTGAATCAAATGAATCATTTATCTGTAATAATTCCAATATGCGATTTTTTGGAATAAATAAATTATTTATTTCACATACTTGAACATATATTCAAACATTTAACAGAAATAAACATATCAGTTCAGTCATTCCCAATAAAATACTCCCGAAATGAATACAAAAATTGAAAATGATGAGTTTTACTCAATTCAAATGCGCAATTTTTCAAGGAAAAAATCACAAAAAATTTTGAAAAAATTATCCGAGGAGAAACGATGCTTGAATAATGTAACAGGGGGTTGTAAACACGTGCGCAAACAGAAAAGGGATGAAAATGATTTTAATGCGTGACCACGTGTTCTCGGGGATTAGTCAAATTGGCGGCGGCCCCGGAGGTGAAGATATTACCCGCCCGATTATCGGGGGTCAATTGGTGTTTTAAAAATTGTGGAATCATCCCCTTCCCCATAAATCAGGGGAAACAATGCCAACCGGGGATTACGTCGTTACTCACTCTCTTCGGAAAAATTCAACGAAAAGAAAAAAGTCGAGGATTTTCGAATTGATCTCCCGGCATGAGCATAAATTTCATGGACTCTCATTCAATAACTGGAATTATAAATTCTCAAGTTGGAAAATTTGTAACCGTGTTTGTTTTAATTAGAACCCCAGCGTGTGGTAATTCCACGGTTAATTTCATTCTTGGCATTAGTGCGTTAATAAACCGTTATTTATCGGTGTTAACTAGTGAAAAAAGGGATTTCATGTGTCAAGAAAATTTTCTTAGTCGACGGTTGTTTTAATGTGAAGCCCAGTGAGTCGATGATACATTCATGAGAAAGGGGGAAGTGGTACATAAATCCTTTCAGTATGAAATCCATTATTTCATTACTTAAAACAAGGAAAATATTTGATAGAATTTAAAAATGAAAACGAGTTATTGTGATCTAATATTCGACGTGATCTAATATTCGACACCGAATGTTTGATTTTGAATTGACGCAGGTGTATCGACTAGAATTTATATCATTCAATTCGTCTAGAATCAAATAAAAATATTGTAAATTACCAAATTCATCTTGCAATGTTAGGAAAACTGCAATTCTTACAAGATTATCATTTTTATTCATTCGTCGTCTCGTATATCGCATATCTTTTCATCTTTTTACAGCAGATAATTGTATTCGAGTTTTCAATTCACATTGGCGCGTTAATAAACCGTTATTCATCAACGTTAACCAGCGAAAAAAGGGATTCCATGTGTCAAGAAAATTTTCTCCGTCGACGGTAGCTTCAATGTGAAGCCCAGTGAGTCGATGACACATTCATGACGCTGGAGGGCAAGAGGAGGGGGATCAGAAATCCCGTCTAGAACCAGAAGCAGATTATACGCGGATGGATTTCTAATCGTTACAAATCCAATCTTGCGCCTTGCTTGCTTCGTATATTTAGCCCCCGGGTGACAAGCAGTATCCCTTTCAATGGGGATAGGACCCTTTTTTTTGTCACTCGGGAGACGATGGAACCCCATGCAGCTATTTAATGTCACATCGCATACGATGCAAAATGACGGAAAATAGGACGTGGATTAAGTGATACTTAGTTTATAAATGTGACCCTTTTGGAGGATGAAAAAATCATGGGATCGAGGGATTACACGCGTGACAACTCATTCGATCCGCATGAACTCAGTGTTTTTGATGCTGGGATTATTATGCTCGGGGGGATCTCAATGCAGGTTTTTTTCTCGGGCGCTTAATTGCGCCGGGGATGCGAGAGGTTTGAGAACATATTCAATACTTCAAAGAGTTGAAGTGAATGCAGTTATCCAATGTTGCAGTTTATGAAAGAAGAGTTCTGATTTTTTGAATGTGACGCACTGATCGACTGGCGGGAAATTATCGAGCTGCAGTATAATATCTACGCTATGAGGAGCAATGGAACCTACTTTATCGTCAGTGGTATATCTTCTTATTGATTGATTTTTTTATAAAATGCATAATTTTTTTTATTAAGTAGTTAGAAACCTGCATAAAAACTCACATATTATATTGGCTATATAATCTGTAATTGCATAACTAGTTTCAACACTATAGTTTGAATAGATTATTTTTTCAACTAAATATTCAATTCACATTCTTTGAAGAATCTATCAATGATCTTTATCACAAAAGGGTTTAACATATATACCACACGACTCATCCCAGAAGGAAGTTGACATTATTTCCTGATATTTATCATCATTGTTTGTCTCTGCTCATCAAACCTAGGACATTGCCAGACAATATGATCTATATCTTGAAAAAATGCACAATTAACTTATTCTAATTGAAATTTATCAATTAAAAACCGACGAAGAAAATACACCAGGAAATTTTCTGTCACAATACATAATTTATTTTTCAACACTCATGTTCCATAAATATATATTATGTACTCATTTTGAGATACATATTTCTTGTTTCCGTATATAATTAATTTTTCTGTATAAATTACCTACACCGCTGACACCACTCGTTCAATATAGATTTTTGTACGAATCTTATAAATCTGTTCCGCAATAATCCACCCGTTTTAAGACAGCCTCTGAATATATTTCTGCAGATTTTCATTGTTACCGTTCGATATGTGGATCAACATCTCTCAAACACTGTTATTTCATTTACCTGTCGACAACATCATCCCTTGGTCTTTGTACCTTTAATCTACTGTTTCATCTACCTGTTCACTGAATTATTATTAGTCACTTGTATACCGAAGATCTGCAAAAATACACCTCCAATTGAGTTCGCAAAATTTCTAACAAAACCGTTTTCATCTAGACTCTCAATCCTTAAGTGGTACTTTCTAAAATTCTACAGCTCTTGACCGGCAAGAGAGTGTTAACATCACATTAGCCACTAGAGTTACAATACAGCGATTATCTGACAGCCGTCAGACGTCTTCCATGTAATTTTGAAATTACAATGAACCCTTCCATTCCCGAATTCTCACTCTCGGACGACATAATTGCCCTCGCGACAGTGAGAAGACATGAAATTCCACGTAGAAGACAAACGCGTACACGTCTAGGCGATTGGCAGCAACACCTGTTATTATCACACTCAAGTTTAGCGATTAATCTACCTTCTAGTGAAATTACAACATCTTCTAAAGCCTGTGTATGTTCATCACAGCAACACATAACATGTGAAGTATAGTCCCCCTACGTAGGAAGTTATAACATATTCAACATACAAACATTACTCTTACTTCATATACGATCCAAATATAATTATCCGCATTGTCATCTTTCCAATAATACGAAGAATATCTCCATATATTTATATATACACACATTCAGTAGCCTAATAACCATATTGTCTATTTAAGTCTATATGCGAACCATCGTGTTTACGTTTCAATAATTTATTTCAAATATTATCGACCATTGATTGTACGATTAGGATTCTGTGCGTACCGCACCTCAAGCGATCACATTTATAAACTCCACAGTATTACAATGCCTCATTCACATGTGTTACCAACACTTAACTCAAAATGTAAATCTTCCGTTATGTCCTAGTAAGTGTTAACAACGATAAATTTTCTATGAAAACCAATAGTTTGACTCTGTGTACACTCAGACGAGCGACCAAAATCGGTCTGATAGCTTAAATAGATCCTAAAGCTGTACCAAGTTCACTCAGGCATGTTTTTTTATTATTATCCCTTATTTATTAACATTTGCAAGATCGAGCATGCAAAAGGTGTTAGTTTGTTACTTTCTATGAAGTTGACGATAGTTTTCGTGAGTTTCTGGAGAGTGTCCGAGTGTCTAAAAAATGATTTCAATATGTTTCGTTGTAGGGTCAATGTTTCACGGAAATCAATGGACAATACAGTTTTTATTGATTGAATGTGGGGAATTGGTCCATTCATTTGCGGTGAAACATGACGCCGAGGGAAAGGTACAAACTCCAACTCTCTCATCAAGCTCAGTAACGATTGTAGAAGAGAACAACACTGACTCTTGATATTACATTTAAACAGTTAATCTCTTTGTAATTCTAGGTATTTAGTAGCTCCCGTCAACTACTTTGTCACAACTCGACGGTTAATTACTCGCAATTTATTGCTTTATCCCTAGGTTATGAATATTCATATTGTAACCTATGTTAAGATATTATTTGCATGGTACCAACATTGACTTGACAGGAGTAGTTTAATGCAACTTTTAATAGTTCATCATAATTTCTCGTGCAAAGTGCCTGACCGACACAGTTGCTTTGTGCGCAGCATTTCATTGTATACTTAAGCGAAACTGAAGGATCGAAATTAAATTACGTGAAACATAAATTCTTGCCTACATTATTTTACACTTAAAACAAGGAAACTGTTTGATAGAATTTGAACAAGAAAACGAATTACTACTAACGTTATCCAATATTTGACATCGAATGTTTGATTTTGAATTGACGCAAGTGTATTGACTAGGGTTGATGTCATTCGGGTCGTCTAGAATCAAATGTAATTTTGTAGACCATCCGATTCAGCTTGCAATGCTAGGGCAAGTGTAGTTCTTACGACATTATTGTTCTCATTTATTCATCGTGTCGTATATTGAATATATCTCAGTATTTTTCCGTAACATCGTAGGCTTATTCACTAATGTTCATGTCTTCGTTAATCCTACAAAATATCCATTCGTGAAATTTAAATATTCACTAATTTTCTTTACCTTATGACTTCTTCTGCAACCAAATAATTGTCAACATATCTAGCAAGTGAAAATTTCCTCAAATTTATCGGTATTCATCGTTATTGACAAGCACCAAAATTGACATCTGCCAGAAATTATACATACCATTCTTACAATAGTTAATTATATTCGAGATTTCAATTTATATCACTTATCACATGATTTCATTCAATCAAATTCGATTGAATTGACCTCTAATTTACTGGATTTTTCATACCATACCAATATCGGATACTTAAACAATGATTTGATTGTAATGTTTTGCAATTTATGGTCTATTCCCTGGAAAAATAACGGAAATTAATAGCTTATACATAACTTACCATCCTTCTATCATTACTCTTAATGTTATTCCTATCAGTTATTGAGTTTATCTTGTTCTTACTTAATATTCATTTACTTAGTCCCTAAAATTACTATTATTGTCCATGGTGGAACATTTTCCTAAAATTATTTATTGTCTCCTCACACAGTATTGTCGGTGATTATTAATTATCCCTCAAATATTACAACTAATTGTTGTCTGGATACTAAGGAAGACAATTATTGTCCTGTTTTCTGGATTATTGTCCAATAAAAATGACTGCCGTTGCCAGAATGAGATACACCTCCGTTCCCCGGTAAAAAATTCAACTAGCAAAGAAATAAATCAGAGAATCACATGAAAATAAAAAACGTTCGTGAAATACGTACCAACAATACCATATTTTTCTCGATCGCTTAGAAAAAGCCTAAGCCAATAAGTAAGGCTTCTATTCATCACAAAACAATATTTCAGTATAAAGTATATATCTTTCGAGTGCGAGTCAAAAAAGTGCTGGTGTAATATATTATCCCTAGAATTCAGTCAACATGGTAAAATAGTCTCTACTCTACTTGAGTAATATTGTCATCAATCTAATTTCAATTTCTATGCTGAAAGCTGAGCTGTAAGCCTGAGTGAGCAAAGAGATAAGATACAATTACCGCACTTTTCTCGATATATTGTTTAATGCATACTGCAGTACTTCTAAAGCCCTATACGCCATGTAAAGCTTGCTAAGGGTGCCGTTGCTTTTTATATTTACATGACACTTTCTTACCCGAAGCTTAGAGCTATCCATATATTTATAGTTTGATTTACAGCAGCGATTATTCAGCATTCTCTTATTCATATTTCTTCGTTACACAAATAACTACTCTACTCTTAAATCTAACGCATCATGCGCAACACATTTTCCTCTGTATTATAAAGAATCTACGGACAATACAGTAGAAACGATTCGAAAAATGTGAAAATACTTTTTATCAATCTCGTAAAAATTATTGTCTCCGATTGAATTCTCCAAGTCATTAAAGTACTCGCGACTCTGCCGGGAATCGTTTCAACTGCATGGGAACGGAAAACAAATAAGTCACTTTGTGACCTTTATGAAGTAGAAAATATCGGAACGCGGGACATGCGTTAATTTTTCACCTCTTTAATATATTACCAAAATTATGTGATTTTGTATTCTCATTCGCTTTAAATCTCTTGTTAATTAAATCCATATAAAATAATGCCACGGCTGTTCGTTCCTCTCTTTAATATCTGAACTTTACTATATATTTTATATAAGTGCAATTAATACGCCACGTACGCGGATAAACCTAGTATTTCTTATATATCTTACTATGTTTCCAAGTATTTCATTGTCATTCCAGAGCCGTGACGCAAAACAGCGCGTTCGCCCAATTGTATCAAATATATGAATTAATAGAATTCAAAAAGAAAAATCCTTTCTTGTTCTATTTTCATTAGTAAAAAATTCCTCGTCATGTTGTAAAGTTTCTTTTTCATTCATTGTTGTCGTTGAGAAGAATCTGGATTTTGCAAAAAGCATTGACAATCCAAAATGACGGCAGTATCAACGTCAAATCCCAATAAGAATGGGCTTTAGGAGAGTGTTTTCCTCTCACCTTCAAGTGGCTCGACGTGTGAATTCAGTTGATGAGATCCATCATCCACTTCTCAAATCTTCTTCTGTCATCCTTCAGCCTCTTCTTGCCGAGCCTCTTGACGACCTTTCTATGTTAGCCTTTTTCCCTCTCTGAATACTTCGCCATCTCCTCGAGAATCCAGGGAACGTACTTCGGTACGTAAGCGTAGACACCGGGTAATCTGGGATGTGCACACTTTATTCCCCAGCTGACGATTCCACCCACAAACCAACGCTCCTTATCATTCTCGTCTTGGCACAGTAGTGGACCACCAGAATCACCCTTTGATAATCCATGTCATTTGTTATTTTCATTTCAGGATGTCATGAAAAAATGCTATAGGATTTTTTATCTAGACTTGGAAAATTCCGTACGCTGAGACAATTACTTTTGCCAAGGAATCATTTTCTTGGGAGAAGAATTTTTTTTTTTAGAAGCGTATTTCTCCAGGTCAGTCATCATCAAGGGGTCCAAGTCTATCTGTAAATATTACAATTATGTTAAGTTATGGGATGATTATGTTACATATGACCTTGAATCAACTCCGTCGACAATTATTAACATTCAAAATTATAGAAAGTTATTTTACGTGAAAAAATCTCACATTAAAAAAAATTGAAAAACAATGAAGGGTGTTCATTCAAGGTCATATGTACCATAATCATCTCATAATTCAACATAATTGTATATAATTTATTACCAAGTGTGAATATATAAACTTCGATGGGTTTATTATTCCCACAGTATTTATAGTACTTGTAATTGGCTTCGGCTGTCTTGACTTGAATAAACAAATAAACAAATAATTGCAATATTTGGAGATGGACATGGATCACCTGGGAATGACTGGCCTGCAGAAATAAGCTCCTAATACAGTAAATTGTTCTCCCAAGAAAATGATTTTTTGGGTTCAGTAATTCTTTTTCTCAGTGCAAAGGATTTCCTATTGGGTTTTACCTACTGGATATAGTAGTATTTATGTTCTAGGGGCTACGAAGGGTCCCATAAGGTATACCAGAAGGTCGCTTAGTGATTTACCTAACGTTCTGAGGACTCACCTGACAGGCGTCTTTTTTACCCTCAGGATAGCCGGCGCAGATCATTCCATCCGTGACGTTGAGCTCTTTGTGTTCCAGCCAAGCGTTACAAAGCTCCCTCTCCAGCACCGGTACTTTAACTTCGTTGACTGCTGGCTCGTACTGAGACGCTGCATAATACACACGGAGAGAAATATTCAGTAAAAAATACGGAACAATTCACGTAATCCGCAATGGGGAATCGTTTTCCGGCAATTTTTATAGGAATGGAAGAGAAGAAATCTGAAACGTTCAGTGAATTTTCAGGTTCATCACCGAACAAAGTACGAAATTGTCACGTAATTTTTCCCGAAGAAGTAAAATCTTACAGAAACTTGCCGACTTATTATGCCTCCAAAATAAAAAATTCTTGAACGTTTAACAATTTTAATGAACCTGGTGAGTTATTTCTACGTCTCGTTCCGTAAAATTTCTCAATCGTTGGGGAAAAATTACAGAACGACTTGTTGTCGTTCCAATTTTTACGGAACAAATCGTAGAATTTACGTGGCGATTCGTACAATTTCAGTTCCGACTCACACTTTTTATTGAATTTTACTTCGCTCGCGGATTACGTTTCGAAACGTAATTTTTACGTTTTCTTCTGCTAATTTTTATTGAATTTTTCAAGTCCTTTTCAAATTTCAAGTCTTTTACTTACAGTCAGTGTCCTCCTTCTTGCCCCAGCCAATCACAGTGCAAACAGTCTTCGGGGCCAGCTCCGTCTCCGGTTTCGGCAGACAGACTGGGCTCAGATGATCATGAAAATCGACACGCTCCTCAAGTTGGAAGAGTGCAACATCGTTATCATGTGCGACTCCGAGGTTGTAAGTGGGGTGGGGTACAACTCTCTTGACTTTCCGCTTCTCTCCGAGATAAGTGTGGGCGTATCTCCTTGTTATTCCAAGTTGAATTGTCCAGTCTGACAGATCTGAGTGACTGAAACTATCCAACTCCATTATAGCTACACGTATCACTCAAATAAAAAATTACTTCTGATCAGTAGAAAAAGTACTTCTACCCGGTACCAAGGGGTTTTTGGGGAAAAGGCAAAACTTGCACTTCCTCGAAGTCACAAAAGAACTGGATGCAAGTATCAAACGGGTAAATTTTTTTCAAGCGTGTAAATTACACTTTTGAAATCGTAAATTACGGTCAGAATAACGTGAATTGCAATTCTGAAAATTATAAATCAATTCGGTTTGGAAAACACCCATAAAAATCACAATCTACTGTTTTTTTTCTACAAAATATCTTCTCCTGAATACTTCTATTCACAGAACTGCACAAGAAAGCTCATTTTATTCATCGATAATATTCGCTTTTCTCAATGAAGTAATCAATTGAAAGTACTGAAATTAAGTCATAAAAGTGAAAAGTACTAAAAGTACTAGCAGAAAGTAGTGAAGCTACTTCCTCGTAGTACTATTTCTACTTGATCAGCAGAGGTGGTACTTCACTCAAGGATTGAAAAAGTACTTGGAACAAATATATTTCGAACTTTTCACAAGTCAACTTCTCCCAAGTACCGGTGGATACTGATGAGAAGTACATTTTTCTTTAGATGATAATTTCAGCCAGTTTCATCTGTGAGAATCATGTATAGTAAGACTCACTTTCCGACACAGTGTGCAGCCGTGAGGACCCACTGATCCGAAATGAGAACACCAGCGCAGTAGAAGACCTCCTCAGGTCCTCCCAGAAGTGCCGCAAGAAAGGGCCAATCACCGGGGCTAGACTCAACTCCTCCGACTATCCGAAGCTGGCGCTTGGCATTCCCGAAATTATTCCGACGCCGGCCACAAGCTGCACAACGATCCCCCGGTTGATTGATTTCTTAATATATTGATTCATTAGGTATATCACGTACCGTATTCGGAGCAGGCCAGCTCCACTGTTCGATAGTCACTGTGGTCCGTGCAGGTCTGCAGGTCCTTGAGAAGATTGCCTTGGCCCTTTTGGGCAAGTCTCCAGCGTTGGGATGTGTCTATCTGCGGCTCACTCACTGTCATATTGTTGCTTTTCATTGAGAAGGCCGAAGAATTGACGATACTGCAAAATTTTTTAAAATTTTCGTCTGATTTTTCCGGGCCAAATTCCGATAATTTTTAGCGTGTTGAAGTTCCACTGATATTTCAGGAAATCTTGTCAGTGAAAAATCAAATATTCCGGTGATTTTCTATTCAAATGATCAGGAAATCAATAGAATACCTGATTTTTCAGTTCAATTATTCTGTGAACATTTAGAAAAATCAGGAAAATGCAGGGAAAAACTGAAAACTCATATCAATTGTTTTCTGTATATTCATGTTCCACTGATAATTTAATCGAGTTGTGAAATTTCCATCTCAATTCCATTGAAAACTCATGAATTTCCGTGAATTCTACTTAAAACTCGAAATTTTGTGTCCCTGTCTTCAATCGTAAAATCATCATCAATGGAGTTAACTCTCACGGACGGGGCCCTTCTGTTACCAAGCGTAGTGTGTGCTCAATACGACTCGAATTCGATCATTTCTAATGAACGGAAAATTACGAAACCGGTATCTAATTGAAGCTACACTGATAGAATGATTCATTTATTCCAAACGAGATTCGTTAACTATTAACGAATGGTAGAGTTGAATATGACCAAATGAATATTCGTTAATAGTTAACGAATGGTTCACTTGAATGGCGAAAGTCAAGTCAAACAAGGCTCCTCAAATATACATTCGTTAACTATTAACGAATGAACATTTGGTGGGACCGAATAGACCCTAACCTCCAACCAAAATCCATTCGTTAACAATAACTAATGTTCTATCAGTGTACCGTACTCCGGTTTCCAATTGTGTTTGTCAGCTCAAGTTATTCTTCATAGATTTGGAAATAATCAATTTTGAAAACAAGCGTTCACATTCGCATGGCTCGATACCATGCATCGACGGTAATAGATCACACTAGGTCCTATTCTTGGCGCAGATGACCTATCGAATTTAGCCATAAATACAGGACCCATCACGCAACACTCTACAACAAGTTTCAAAGTTTACTGCAGACACGAAAAATATTGTCATCTTCTTCGGAAGCAGGCAGTCAACCACCCGTATAATGCTGATCCCATAAAACCCCTGTCTTATCATCTCTTACATGCGAAAAGAATTGCTTCTCACCATCTACAAGAATGGACACCTTCAATATCATGTCAAGAGCCTCAAACTCTCAAGAATTGCGAGTGGACCGAGGCTCCGCGGGAGTTTCGATTTGGGTTTAGCCCACCGTGATATTGCTACATCAAGAGAGGCAAGCACCCCTCCAACGATCTCGACATGCTCGAGAGACTCGCAATCGCGTTATCGAACGTATTGCTCGGTCCATGATTTCGATGCTCTCACAGTGCGATATAGACGTCGGAGTTTGACGGAATCCTTGACTCCCACGGTTCACTCGGCTTGTCAAGCCGCGCGGAAAATAAGAGATACTGAACTATGGACCGTCAGGTGTGTTATGAACCTCGAACACTGCGAAAACTAATGTCTGAATTTCAGACACTTGTAGACACTTTTCAAACACTTTTGGGACGATTTTGTAGACACTTTTGAGACATTAAAATGTATCTGAATCAATGGAGGTATTTCAATTTCAGACGTCAGTTAGATTTTCAGACACTTTTAAAGATTCAGACGTTTTTTGCCATCTGCTATCTTAACTTCAGATGGTTGTCAGACACCTAGTTTTTGCAGTGAATGAGTCAACTTTTCAGACCTGAGAAATATCTTAAAAATTAATGTTTGAATGGACTTTGCCGTCTGCATCAGGTGAGATATCTTAATAGTGAAATGTTTGAATCGCTCATAAATAACTGAATTTCAGACACAAAAAATGTCAACCATCATTTTCAGACAGAAACGGTGGTTGGAATTTTCAGACATTAGTCAGATTGTCAGACACTTCTGAAGATTCAGACGTTTTTTGCCATCTGACATCTTAAATTCAGATAGCTGTCAGACACCTGGTGTTTGTAGTGAAAGGTCTTACTTGTAACCGAGAAGCCGGCAGATCGCTTGAGCCGATGTGGACTCCCAATGGGTGATGCAGGCGGGAATGAAGGTTCGATTTTCCGCGTGATATACCTGAAGGCGGCCCTTGCCAAAGTCTCCGTTCCTCTCGCTAAGTCTCACTGTCGACACAAAATGCGAAGATGATGAGAACGCGATGGTAGTGATTAAGGAGATGCAGAAAGGACGAAGGAGGGATGACATCAAGCCAAAGATAATCGTTTACTCACAGCAATTTCTCTCGTCCTGGCCCCAAGGACAATCAAGCACTCCATCACAAACATGAGCTGACGACATGCACCTCCGTTCACCACAGTGGAGCTCCGGCTTGGCAATGACATCTCTTATTCCCTGATTCTTACTCTTACTGTTGACAGAGTACTGCACCGTTGGTGATGCGCACTCACCACAGCCAATCTCGTCAGTCTGATCGGCGCAATCCACGTGCCCGTCGCATCTCCAGTCGACCGGAATGCATCTGGTGCCGTCGCATTGAAACCCACTGGTGCAAACTGCCAACATTTCACAATCCAAAAGGATGGGTGGAGCATAACGGTGGTATCATCAAATGCATTGGCTCGTAATACAGATAACTGCATTTCACTGCACACATTTCCCCCTTTTCATTGAATTTTTCCCCGGAATTATAGAAAAAAGAGACATGGCTATCTCGAAAAGCATCAAACGAGCGCACAATTAAGCGGTGAGGTTTGCGGGATGAAAAGGCCCCATTCAATTGCGATATTTATTTCGCTATCGTAAATGTAACACGGAAAATGAAGGGAGGAGGGGGAATCAGAGTCCCAATTTCTTTCATCTCCAATAACGCCTGAAAGCTCGATTGGCCCCGCGTTGACTGTTTCATTCCGAGATTCCATTTGCACGATAATCCGGAATTGTCTGATCTATCTTGACTCCGTAAGCTCAAAGAGGGGGTGGGAGATGGTGGAAACCAGGTCTTCGCGAGCTTTAATCGATAGACTATTTGCCTCTGACTTTCAGCTTGTGACTGCCTCCGGGCTATGAAGAAAAAGGATATTAGCAGTCGTCGATATCAACTCAGCTGTCACGTGATATTTACGCTCTCGCTATCCCAATGAACTAACTCTGTCGTCGTCCTCAATCTTTTCAGATCCTACACTAATATTGCACACCCACACACTGGGATTTCTCTAAAAATTATTATACTTATAGTTATTTTTGTTTTAAATATAAATGCGCTTTTTTTCACTCTAAATACATTTTTTTTAATTTTTCAGATTTTCTTTGAGCACGTAATTAAATTAATTGGGTATGCTTCAGGAAAGAGCAAATTAATAATAAATATAAACTGTTATGGGAATATTCTAAGAAACAAACAATATTTACGAAACTCGAGCATCACACTGTGATTGTAGTTGATTATAGCCTATTATTTTTACATTAATTCTTTGTATACCTGTTTTTTATGGATATATTTCAGTAGCGAAGCGGTAAACCGGGTTAAGTCGATTTAGACTTTTGGCCATTTTTTGACAAATACCTCGGAATCTAAGAGAGATAGCAAAATTTTGCTCATTACCTTTTTTATAACCCTCAGTTGGCTCTACAAAAAAGGTCATGACAAAAATTTTTCTATCTCTTTTAGATTCCCAGATATTCGTTAAAAACTGGCCAATAGTCCAAATCGACTTAACCCGGTTTACCGCTTCGCTACTGATTTGTAAATATTGTAAATACTCAAGTGATCTCGAATAGAAATTTATTTTTAAAAAAAGTGTTTTCATATCTTTTGCCCTTTTCCTCTCCGGCTATTAATCATCTCGAGTCCACTCAGAGAAAAACAAACACTTTGTCAAACAAGTCTTGTTTGGGCCAACAAAATCGCTAGTTGAAAATTGCCAAAAAAGAATTTGTTTGGTTCGAATTTGAAAGTCTCAAACATGAATAATTGTTCTACTTTCGAGAACAACGAAATATTTGGCTCAAGAGGGGGATAATTCACACCAGACGGTGCCTTTTCAGGATGAAAATATCTCATATAGAGGAAAATTTATCAACAAATATTTTATCCCAAAGTTACAAGATTGCTATCATATCATTATTATTGTTTCATTTAAGGGTTCATTTCTTGTCTGTGATTATTAGACAGCCGAAACGAAAAACTACTATCCCTTGTTCCGCATAAAACAAAGATTTTCCGGGAGCAAAATACGGATGGGAGTATCGAATAACGAAGGAGTAGTGCTAGAATGACATGTCTTGCGTGTACAGAGAATGCAATTTTTTTTGAACCACTAAATCTGTTTTTGCGACAAAAATTTTTCATTCCGGCGCACTCTCTGCATGTTTGGCCCAAAAAAATCCTTTTATGATAATTTTCAAAAAACTATTTTCTTGGCACAAGCAAGACTTGTTTGAGAACTTTGTCGTTTTTCTCTCAGTGTAGCAACACATGCCCTTCATTTTTATGAAAATGTTTATTGGATAGTCAAAAATTTACGACTATCTGTAAAAAGGGACAATTGAATTGTTTTTCTTGCTCCAATAGAACAAGAAAGAAGAAAAGTGGAGGTGAGGGCGGGAGCCTTGGGTGAGAATTAACGCTGAAAATGATTCTCTCAAGGTAGATAAGCGCTCGGAGAGGTGACTGTAATTTCAGCTGGCAGTAAACTCCCCCATCTCCCTCCCACTGTCACCAAGAAGCTTTTCTAAAAGGTATGAAAACCAATTAGTTGGTGAATATGAAGAAAACCGGGCCATCATAAATTCCAATTACGGTTCTACTATCTAAAAGCTCATTAAATACGGCCGGTACTAGCTCTCAATTCCGTTTGGTTGGTGTGTATCTGACCTCATTTCAACTCACCAACAAACAGCGGAACAAAAGATTTTTGCATTTGATTAGAATTATGGATGCAGTGCCTTATCGAAAGCCGGAAAACAAAACACTTCCTACTCTCCTCGATTAAGCGGGAATCTTGGTGGAGGAGGGAACACGAGTGGGAAGAGTTTTCCGATAGATTGGAGTCAGCTACAGCACCACTACCTTCTGCTTCAATTAATTCCAGCCTTCATTGTTCGATCCACATGGCTTTTTCCAGAATTTTTTCTCAACTATATTCGAGGATTCACCAGCCGGAAGGGCGCGATGAGGGAATTGAATGGTGCGTCGGGTCGGGGGTTCGAGGAATTGCATTCAAAAGTTTTTGAACAATACGAGAAATGGGAGATCATCGGGAAAACAAAAGGCCTGTGCATAGTCTAGTACCTTTGGGAGGGCAGAAACTTGCGGGACAAAGCAGTCAATTGGACAAATGCAATAATCAATAAGTAAGCTCCGTTTTCTATCGACGCGATAGGATGCAGAGTGAGGGATGGGTAGGAAGGGGTGAGCGATGATCACTGGAGGAAACTTGAGGCGATGACGGATGAAGCGAGTCGCGTGAGTGCACTTGTAGTCTTGATAACGAGCAGAATATCTAGGGTGATCGCCTCATTCTTTTCGCTTCTCGAGGTTTTATCGTCTGGTTTAGTGACCTTGATGATTTTTTTTATTGGTAAGTATTGATGCATCGTTGGATTATTTACATAACTTCATTCGAGTATTATTTACCTTGAGTTGATTTATATTTAGTTGCTATGAACATATTTTTAAATTCTTGTATTATTACTTTTAATAAAATCGTGAATAATTTTTAAAGTTTTAGAGTCTGTCTCTGTCAGGAATGTGACTGTGGTGTATGGCCTAGGAGTTTTTATTTCCATACAGCAAAAACGAATGTCTGAATTTCACACACCTTTTGTAGACATTTTTTAGAGACTAAAAAACGTCTGATAAAATGAAAATTTGGTTGAATTTCAAACATGAATTGAGATGTTTGGGCACCGGTTCGTCTGAAATTCAGACACGTTTTCATTTTATTCAGACGTTTTTTCGTGTCAATGACGGATTTTCAATGACGGAATTTTCTGTCCAATAGAAAATCCATTCAGGGTTTCTTGTACTCATCAACTTTACTCAAATAATCAGAATTTTCTTTCCTCGCAAAGGTTTTCCGCAAAAAAAAAGTTCGTGTATCCTTTTTTTAATTGCGGGTTTTAAATTAAACCCATGAAATCCCGGATTCTCTGCTCGATCTTCACTCGAAGATCTTCTACGAGCTGGGAGGTACTCAAGGAGATTATTCAAATGCTTCAGTGATATTTTTTGCTTCTCCAGCGCGATTATTCAGATGCATGCATTATTCAGAGGGTGCTTTTGCAATAAAAATACGTACCTGGTTTTTCAGCGCGTTTTGCAGCTTCCTTCACCTCATGGTGACCCACGCAAACGTCCGAATTCACGTTTTCCGGGAAGTAGTCGCAGTCGAGATAGTCAGGCATCTTCAGGCCGAATACATTGAGGAAGAAACCACACCTCCTCGTCATTTCTACAATTCGAAGCGACCAAATTGAGTATTGAGGCGAGTGAATTAGTGGTATTGCTCGGCGAATTGAATTTATGAAGAGAAATTGTGGAAATTACATTCGTGATTCATTGTTAATCGTGTATGTGGTGACTACTGATGAAATTCCACTCAGAGTCGACCGCAGAGTTCTACACCGATGATGGAAATGATATAACCCTGAGGCCTTCACTGTCGCGTGGAATTTGTAAAATTCAATGGTGGATTTCGCCACAAATTGATATGGATTTTCCATTAGTTAACAAATTTCGAGGATTGAAATTTGATATATGAACAGCAGGAGTGCCTCGTGCATTTTTAAATCACGACGTCAAAGATAGATCATCAAAAACCCGATCAAGATCATTTTACCAAATATTCAGGCGATTCGTCTGAGTCTCTAATTCCCAGACTTTGTGCGTTCTCTTCATATTTTATTAAAAAGTACACGAATTCGTTTCGAGTGCTTTCAGCGAGGATTGGAGGGAACAATTTCGTCCGAAAAAATGAGTCGGCATTTTAATTTTGAGGAAGAGTCATGTCATAAAAACGAAAATCATAACATCTTCTCAAATTCAAATTCAAAATTAATTATTCTCTTGCTGATTTTCTCAATGTTTTTTAACACTCAACTTAACCATGGCAAAATCTTGAAAAATCTAGTGTGAAATCGGCCTCGAAAATCTCAAATATCCTCAATTCAGTCAGCAATTATTACCTCCAACCAAAATTTCTCCCGAAATTACAGATACTCCGACCCCGAGAATCACTTATGAAACATTTGAAACAATTCCATACCATTACACAAACTTCTGCAGGGTCTAACCACTTGACCGCGCGATCCACATTTCGGTACGAAGACATTGCACAGAAACAAGGCAGCGAGTTCGTAACACCTGACGTCAACAACTGCCTCGTAATTCTCCAGTTCATGCTGTGCATCACGCTGGCCAAAGTTTCCCATGTAATTCGGAAACACCGTGAAATTGTACGGCACCTGAAATATTAACGTAAACATACCAATCAACTAACGTGGATTTTACACTGAGACAACTCAATTATCTCAGTATATCCACTGTCATTGGTTGGTGAAGAACGTAGTGATAATTATTTGCTTTGACGCTCAATTATCGGGGATGGAATTCAACCGGCTGCATTGATTGTGTGCTTCAGGTTCTGGACCCAGCTGTCAGAGCAACAGTGCTATAAATGTGATCATTAGGGGATTTAATTGAAGTTGCGCAATTCACCTCGAATTCATTGATTCTACAATGCACTGGGGGAGACAAAGATGTAGACGTTGGGATGCTGGAATAATACCAAATTAATTGATGGAGATTTCGGACAATTGACTGACTATCAAAATACGCAATAGAATGATCGCATTGTATGGGCAATATAGCGTAAGAACTGAGGTAAATGACCCTACACTGAGAGAAAAACAAACACGTTGTCGAACAAGTCTTGTTTGCGCTAACGAAATCGCTAGTTAAAATTGCCAAAAAATAATTTGTTTCGTTCGAGTTTGAAAATCTCAAACATGAATAATTATTCTGCTTTCGACAGCAACGAAATGTTTGGCTCAAGAGGCGGATAATTCATACCAGGCGGTGCCTTGGGAATTACTAGTCCATGAATGTGTTATAAAATTATTTACTCCCCAAATATATGCTTTAAAAACTAAAAAAATTGTTTCAATGATTCGCGATAATTGACTATCATTCCCGACATTTACCGAAGAGAGAGAGCTTTTGAACTGATTTTCTGGAAAATTTATTTCCACTAATGAATAACACAATTACTTATATTTTTAGCTTAGACACGGAATCCAGTTCCACTCTCAACGCGCCCGAGGACATTTTCCCCATTATGAATACAAAATCACGTCTCCGACGAGAAAGAAAAACCATCCCCTAAAGAAAGCACAAGGCAAAATCCGGTACGTGCTGGAATCCCTGAGCGTGTGCAACTAATATAATACCCCTTTCTGGCTCGAAAATAAAAGTATCACGCCTCCGTGAATCCCAGAATTCCGGACGCCCTGGGACACTACGTTGACCTCATTCCGTGATTTTAAACGACTACACGGAAAGTTTATCTCGTTTTCCGAAAAAAAAACAAGAGAAACAGGGGAAATGTGAAAGGGAAAAATCAACTCACCTTGTGGTTGAGGCAAAAGGTCACGATAACTGGTAAACATATTCCCGGCGCTGGATTTTTCGGCTCAGCCAGTGCTGATGGCGGCCGCGATGAGGATACGATACCCGTTCTCTCAACGGTTCTGTTCTCAAATCTCACACCTCCCTCGGGATAGGCTGTGAAACGTGAAAGGAAGAACTTTATCCTCGTCTAGTTCTCACCTAACAAGACGCGTGACATGTCGTACGGCACACAAAGCACTCTCAGCGGAAGTGTCCAATAACATGAAATTCACGGGATGAACAAAAACCGAGTCAGAACTTCAAAGTGAATGAAAAACAATCCCCGGTACACGATTGAAAATATTCGTTTGAATTTTCGCTGTCAAATCTCGGGAATCTCCAACGTCTGACGTTTCGATAGAAATTTCCGGAAATCTCATCATTAAAAACCAATGGAAACTACACGGAGAAAAATAGTCAGTAAAGATTACGTATCTTTTCCGTAATTCCGGAGCGAAATGTGGTTGTAGAAAATTTTACGTAACAGTCGCGGAATTTTTCCAGAGCGTTCCGTAATTTTTATCTGAATCTCCTGTGAAAAATTACGATACCGTCACTTAAGGATGTATTCCCTTTTCGCCAAAATTCACGTTTTTTAAATTTTTCTGGGAAATTGTTGATCGGATTGACGTGATAAAATATACCGTTTGTGCGTTTTATCATTACTCAATGGCTCCCGAAATTTCATTATCGTGCAATCAACTTCCTGCGTTTTTTCTACGCTGTTAAACATTTCTTGAAATTTCAGTCACAATGGCATCTGAATTTCCAACGTTGTGAGTTTGAATTCAACTTCAATTGAAAACGTTCGCTAAATTTGTTATTCATCTTGAAAATTCAAGAAAATTCGATTTTTCATATTAAAAAGCCATTGATTTTTCAATGAAAGCTTGAATTTTCAAATTCATCGTGGAAACTGAACATCAAACATAATTGAATTTTCAATAAATTGAAAATTCAGAGACGTTGTTGCCTGAATTTTCAACATTATCAAGGTTTTTTAGTACCGTATGGATCTGAAAATCGAGAATTACTTGAATATTCAAGAAATTAACTGATTTGTCAATGAAGAATTCTGCAGAAATTTCATGTAACTTTATCGTTGTTAAAAATTTCAAGTTTTCTCACAATTTTCTAACAGTGTAAAACTTTTCGGAAATTCACAAAACTTCAGAAAAAATGCAGGACAATAATTGCACTACCATGAAACTTCCTGAGTCAGTCAATAATGATAAAACGCAAAGACGGTATATTATTTCGCGTCATTCCGATCAATAATTTGCCAGAAAAATGAAAAAAACGTGAATTTTGGCCGAAAGAGTCTAATACATCCTTAAATTATCTGTGTCGATTCCGTAATCGGTGAGCAAATTATGAGTTCCGTAATTTTTACTGAACATTTCTCTCCGTGTCTGAATTTCAGTTCAATTACGCAATGAGAGCATTCGAGAAAATTAGGAAAGCTCAGTTTAATTGAAAATTTGAGTAAACATGGAAATTTCAGTCTGATTGCTGATGAGACTATCTGAATTCCCTAGCAATTTCACAGGCATTTTCCCTCTGAATCGAACTCAATGTTATACTTCTTGAGATTCCTATCTCTCTATGAAATTCATGCAAAACTAATTTCTCGGGGGAAAAGTATAATGTCATTTCTAGAAGAGGGAGAATTTTTTTTTCGCCTGAAACCTATTATGAATGGATCGAATATACCTCGAATATACACTTTCTCAACTCGAGAAATTACTTTTATGATATCGTCGTTTCTTCTCTCAACGTTCGAGAGACCTAGACTCTGAGATATTGATTCGCGCTGGAAGCGGAACTTTCTCGTAAAACACTAACCGAGGACAGTTTGGATCAACAGAGACAGGCCATAGCTATTGATCTCTCCGATAGGCATACCGATGATAACTTGTGTATTCAGAATGTATTTGCTTGAATATTGTCGTCAGGAGATATCCGAGAAGAGGCAAACGTCAGATGAAATCAAACCCGAGAGAGAAGCCCCATAAATGACACTATCGCGCAAGTAAAACCGAAGTAAGGGTCCTTGTGGGTTCGCAGAGAGCTACAGCGCGCTTCAGAATTCCGAAAAATAAGAGAGGAAATGAAGTAGATAGAAATGGAAAATGAGGTACTTACATTTGAAATAAGCCAAGAAGCCACCGGCAATTGCTAGGAGGGCAATGGCATTCAGAAGAACCTGAGCGTTTCGGAATTTTATTGTACCTCTGGTGACGTAGTGACTGCTCGGTCGTCTCATGTCTCTGATTATCTTAAACGTAATGAACCAGTGACTATAAAGTAAATTGAAGAAATGGTGGTTTGAGGTAAAAAACTAATTCTCTGATTATTTACAAAATTACGAGAATGTTGGAAAATTATAGGTTTCGAATGAAATATTCGACACTTGGTGATCGTCAATCACCAAGTGTCTTCTCATGTTTCTGATTATCTCAAACGTAATGGAACATTAAATACGAAGTAAATTGCAGAAATACTCATTTGAGCTACAGATTAATTTTCTGATTATTTACAAAATGATAGAAATTTTGAAAATTATAGGTTTAGCGTAAAATATTTTGCTACATCATTTGAAATAACCCACGAAGCCATCGACAATTGCAAGTAGAACAATAGCGTTTCGAAAACCTGTTCTAAACGTAACTGAACATTGCAATTAAAAAAATGAACAAATGGTGGTTTTAAAGCATTTAAAAAATGCATAAATAGTGGTTTATTCGACACTTGGTGATGATCAACGTGCCACTTATTGTGACAATTAAATTCAACTGCAATTTAACTCAGTCTGTCTGAGGAAAAAGCTACTGAGATGCTAAGGTTTCTGCCAGCCCCCCAGTTAGTTAATTGAATCGTTCGGAATGGTTGCCTCGGACTCTGCGCCAAACGACCGTTGTAGAAACATTTTGGCCCTCGGAAAGTGTGTGTGTACTTCGCTCAATGTGAAACTTCTTACCCTGTGATGTAACGACATGTTGCTGCCACTGTGAAACCTCACGATTGTCTGCAAGCTCGCTGGGGTACTCATTGACTTTGTGATTGGACTGCCTGGTGGATTCTCAGACTCGGGGATCAAGGCTCTTCCTGATGGGCAAATTTCATTTCGTCATTTTGTCATTGGCATTATTTATTTCCAGTCTCGGAAAGGGTGAAAATGGCAGAAGGCCATTCACATGAGACGAATTACTCTCTATTTTATCATTTTTTTAATTTCAACATTCTTGTGGGTCATTCTGCACTGTTAAAGGTTTTGTACCACTGGAATTTCAAGGAATTTCGCCATTGAAAATTCAGAATTTCGTGGGAAAATCAAAGAGAACTGTAAATTTTAATTCCATTTTTCCCTGGAAATAAATAGATGGAAAATAGAGGGAAAATATGAGATTTCAGATTTCACTGAAACTTCAATGTAATTCGGCACTGAATATTCATATTGAATTGGAATTTCAAATGAATTACGGAATTCTCGTCTGTATGCTGCTTAAAACTCTGGAATTTTACTGAATTTTCAGTGAAACCTGAAATTTCATTTTTTCTCTAACAGCGTGCCATCACAAATCTTGCGAATAACTCTAAATTATAAATGTGCATTTATTACTGTTTTCATATTCAACAGTTTACTTTGCACAACTAAAAATCAAGAATAACATTTATCCAAAGACGTCTTCTTTAAACATTCACATTGATTAGTCTCAGAAATGAGTCGAAAGTCTTCAAAACTCTGTCTTCAAAACGAGAATTAATAAGCAAAAATATCAGTAGAAGCCTCAAATGATGGCCAACAAACCTGGAACTCTTCCATTGATATGCTTATGCGGTAAGAGTGGTGCCTCCATAGTCTTGCTCGTATAACTCGGTGAACTAGTCTGACTGAAGCTGTCCGATGAAACATTGCTGTCCTGCCTGACACTGGCCGGTTTATTCTGCACGGGACTCTGGCAAATGGCACTCAAAGGTGGCGGTAGATTAGTCTGCGTTGCTTTAGGAAGTTTTTCCAGTCTCTCAACGCCTCTGTCCTTTCTCAAATTATTCTGCAAAATATTTCTAGCCCTTTCCATATCCACATTGTACTTGGCTTTTGTTGGCTGCTGCTCACTCTGCAAACGCTTCTCAAGATTTCTCGACGCTGCCTGCAACGCCTCAAACTTGGATCTCTTCTCCGCCTCGTGGCGATCCTCAGTATCGCTTTCAAACTTGCTACGCTGGAGTCTGTAGAAAGCGAAACATGAATTGTGTGGACTGAATCCTTCGGGTGGTTGAAAGTTCGGAGTGGGGGTTTGTTCAAAGGAGAGTTTGCGGGGATTAGGTAACTATGGTAGACCAATTATTTCCAACGGGGGCGTCCTTTGTCTCCTGTGCATAGCCTTCATTCTCAATACTGCATATTGTGTACGAGTAAACGGTAAATAAAGGACAACACAATGCCGTCGATAAATAAAAGTTGACAATTTTCAATTTTTCATTAGTTTGTTCAAAGGGTTCCGAGCGAATGATTTTCGTTTTCCCCTGGAATCAAAGTTATCTGGGGAAAAATAAAAATCTCGGAGCTTAAACTTCATAACAGAATGTTTCGCAGAATTCTTAAAACGGGTTTTTATAGATGCAAGCACACTTTTCTGTCTAGAGGATGAATTTCAAATTTTCTTTGATAGGGAATCTAAAGAATAGTTTTGAAACTGTAGTTATTCAATCTTGTAGTCGAAAAATATTTCAATTTTTTGGCCGAAATTTCCGCTACACTTGTTGGAGGTTTTTATGAATTGGCAGTTCCACTGGAAGTTCAAAGGATTTTGTCATTGAAAAGGCACGATTTGATTAGAAAACCGATGGAAACTCTAAATTTATAGTTAATTAAATTCATATTAAATCTATGTTGTTGTTCATTTCCATGTTGATTTTAAATTATGTAAGATCATGGGAAATTGGAAAATCAGTACACTATACTATACTCAGGCTTTTGACTATAATTTGTCAAGGGCCTGAGGAAGCTTAAATATTAAGAGAAACGTCGCAAATTGATAATGAATTAGTATAGTGTACTGATTTTCCAATTTCCCATGATCTTACATAATTCATATTAAAATTATATTACATATTAAATTTATATTTCCAGTACACTTGTGGGAGATTTTTATGAAGTGTCAGTTCCACTGAAATTTCAAGGGATTTCGTCATTGAAAATGCACGATTCGGTTAGAAAACCAATGGAAACTCCAAATTTAAGTATTCCCTGGGTGGTAGAAAATTCCGAGTAGGGGTTTGTTCAAGGGGAATTTGTGGGGATTAGATACCTGTGGTAGGCAAATTATTTTCAGCAGGCCCATGCTTTGTATCTTATGTATGGCCTCTATTCTCAATGCTGTACGCTGCCTGCGAATGAAGGACAACACAATGCCGTCGAAAAATAAAAGTTGGCAATTTTCAGTGTTTTATTAGCTTGTTCAAAGGATTCCGAGCGAATGATTTTCGTTCTCCCCTGGAATCAAAGTTATCTGGGGCAAAATAAAAAGCTCAGAGCTTAAAACTTCGTAATAGAATGTCTCGCAGAATCGTTAAAATAGTTTTTTATCGATGCAAGCATACCCAGAGGGGCAATATCTCCCCTTACTGAACTGGCAAAATCTGGAGTAACACCTGGCAACTTTCTCAACAATTTACGCGCGTCCTTAATTCCTGTAAGATCGAAGAAACTGCGGGAATAGGGAGGAAACTTGTCCCGGCACGGAGGCCCTAATCTTCTGAGTGGCGCAGATTTAATGTCGTTCTGTGTTTCACATGGGTTTAACTGAGTCATCGGGAACTATTCGAGAACACGGGAGTGAATGTTCTTGGGAATTGAAAGGATCTCCGAGACTGTAATTATCGGGGAGGTATCACCCAACAACAGATGCAGGAAAATGAATTGCTTCTCTGTTTAGACGACGACATGAATTTAAATTTATTTTTGAGGGGAACCGTAAGAATAATTCTAGAATTATCATAAGTTATTCAATCCCTCACGTGAGGAATAGTGTTAAATTATCTGGCTAAAATTTTCAGTGCCGATATTGAAAATTTTTATCAACTCACGGTCCCATTGAAATTTCAAGGAATTTTTTAATTAAAAATTCACAATTTAAGGAAAAAATTAAAGAAATCTCTGAGTAGCAGTTCAGTCATTCCATAAACATCAGGAAAAATTGAATTTAAAAAAAATAAAAAATGCCAAAATCTTGAATAACTAAAAATTGAAGATGTTCAGTGGAATTTCGATTGAAAAGTATCCAAAAATTCAAACTGAGAGAAAATAAATTGTCATTTCAAATCCCATGAGCCCCCCCCCCCCCCCCCCCCCCCCCCC